TAACACATTATATTTGGATTTTTTGATGCACACAACTCTCCTTTCTTACTCTCTTCATGCAGAACCCGTCGGTACCGTTCACTGAAAAACCAAAATTCACCTTCTGACTGATTGATGCCGAGGCCTGGCTTCAGCAAGACTCTGGAAAAAGACGTCAAAAAGATTTTGTACATCCAGAAAATATTTTTTTCTACATATTAATATCCACTGTCAGCGGAGATTTATTTCCTCTCAATAATTTGTAGACTACTTTTAAGTTTCAGCTTCCAACAATCAGTAATGCATTTAGTCTGATGTAATTGAGTGTAGAAATGACACTCAATTAAATTTCTACAACAGAGAAACTTACTCGGTCGTAGCTTTTAAATACTTTGAAGGATCTATGGAATCAAATTCATTGGCTGCCGCTGAAGTCTACAAACTTTCACCCATATAATCGTCAAATCCCACATGTACAAAGTCCACGGCTAACATTTACCTCACCTGTTAATATTTGCATGATAATGTATCACCATGTGACCGAGGTGCGTGGTCTTATCTCCACGTCAGCTGTTTGACCGGCTAACAATGATCAGCTCTTTTATGCCTTCTTCACACATTGGCTGTCTTGGCAATGGCTTTCCACACACATGGTGATATAGCCAGCAATGAGACGCTTTAGGAGTGAAAGATAAAGACAAGTCTGCTTTCAACATGGAGAAATAAGGAGAGTAATATATTATATTTACAGGCTCTAAATTTAAAAGGTGTAATGACCAATGTCTGTGTGGTCAGGGCTGTCCTAATTTGACTCATTGCTTTGCATCATGCCTGAGGAATTCAGTGACCCATGCATACCACCGCAGAGCAAACACGTGGACCGAAACCAAACTTACGGCAGCTAGTCCCCCCCGTCGATGTTTGCCAGACGTCTCTGCAGGCGACCCGAGCCCTTATTGGGCCGGCCGTCAAAATATGAAGAGAATATTTGACACAGCATGGCATCAATAAGAGTTCAGACATGTAATCAGCAATGAGTGATTCAGGATTGGAGACGGCCAAAAACTTGTTCCTGCCAATAACTGTTGTCTCAGTACCCACATATACACAAACACACACTCACCCACACACACACGTTTGTATTTCCACCCATATTAGGACATGTGTTGACTTCCATTCATTTTAGTTACTGCGTTTATGTCTAACACAGATATTCTCCCCAACACTAATCATTATCCTAACTTTTACTAAAACCTAATCCACACCTTACCTCTAAGCATAACCCCTAACTACTACCAGTCCTAACCCTAAACCCAACCTAACTCAATAGATAGATAGAAGTGTTATTCATCCCTTTGGGATTTTCCCTCAGGGAAATTATAGAAAATGTTGTACTAATGTGCTCATTAGTCTTAAATCTAACCCCTAATTACACAAACAGCACTTCTTCTTTTGGTGCCCAGGCTCTGGGACTTATAAGAAACAGCTGGTCCTTGAAATATAGTTTTTTTTTTCTTTTTAAATGGGCCTTTTGCAAAAAAAATAAATATAAATTGCTAAACACACACACAGACTCCTGTCATTCCTTCCATTCCCATTGATCCACCGCCCAGCTCCTTGTTGGAAGAGATGAAGAAGGACAGCCGGTAAAGTGATCAGGCTATGATATCACTCCCAGACAACTGCATTTTCAAACGCTCATAACTTTCACAGAGACGATGACAGACTCATAGTATAAGCAACAATTTCCTGCCTGGACATGAGGGGTCCTGGGACACTCGGATGACTCGACAGGTCTAGATGAATAAGTTCCACTCTTAAGAAAAAACAAAACAAAACAAAAAACCCAACAAACAACCCTTTCTGAGCCGGCTTCAGGTTTACTTCGCATAAAATAATAATGGAGGAAGACTTATCTTGCGATTCTCTACATAATGTAGCACTCGGCAAAGATCAATAACCATGAAAACATTTGCTGATTTCTAAACAGATGAGTCAGGCTATTTGATTACCGCTCCTGTGCGAAAAGGATATGAAAGCTTGAAATGAAGCAATAACCGGGCGTGACAGGTAGGCACGCACCACCTGGTGGAGGGAAGGAAGTCTGTATGACACACAGGTGTATACACACAGTTGTAGGGATTTTACAACCCTCACCAACTATTATGCCCTGGATTTGCTAGGCAACGGAATGAATACACGGTTTCAGGTGTTTCCTCGCATCTCAGATAGCTTTTAGTTGTTGCTTCTGTCATTCTTCTCACCGTCACCATGAGTTCACACACACACACACGTACACACACCCACACACACGCCCACGCAGGCATACAGTCACTCACAGTTTATCCACCTCTGCTGAGTCGAAAGGAAAGCCTTTTAAGGGCAAGGGCGTGAGTATTCAGGTGAGTCCACCAAAGTGCAAGAGTGACATTTTATTCAGTTTTATTCCTTTAACGTACGTCTTCACCAAATGATGGAAGGTTTAAGATGGAACAGTAGAGAAATAAATAAAAAATCCTGCTGAAGGCCTGAAATCACATTCATTTTCAATAAATTTGAATATTATTGGAAAGCTAGTTAATTTCAGTAGAAAGTGAAACGTATTACAGAAGAAAATCAAATTTATTAAAATGCAACCTTTAATGAACTGATGGATTTTTTTTCTAGTCAGGAATAAACATGAGGCCACTGAAGTTCTGAGCTGACCCCACATGGCAAGAAGCATTTTATTGTAAAAGAGTGGATTTTTATTTTAGTATTAGGGGTAAGTCTGAAACTTGATCTTACTTATGGTGCTCTTAGATAACTCAAACTTTCTCCCTTCAAAGGAGGCCATTCAGGCAGAAGTTATGAGCACAAATGTCTGTCAGGGGACTGAAATGCCCACATGACCTAACTTCTTCCCCATTAATACATCCACTTGTAGTCATAGGAATAATAAAATCACCCTTTCACTTTTGTCTAAGTGAGCAAGGCAGTAATTATAGCCAACAATTTCACTTTTACAAACAATAGAGATGTAATCTCCAGTACTGGAAAATGTAAAGAAGCGTCTATCCAGCTTATTGTTACCTAAAAGTCTGTCTTATCTGGCTGCCAGGCCCATGCCACCCACTCTTCTTCTTCAACATTCCTGATATTGGACAATGCAGAGAGGAGTTTTTTCCAGTGAATAATCAGCTGTGCTGTTGGTCCACATCAAACGTGGCTCCAGGGTCGATCTCACCCACACGTTCCTGGGTGTGCCGTGCCTTGCGGACCTCCTGGGGTCGACACCTTTCAATGTAGAGAACAGATCACAGAAACAGAGCGAAAAACAGACTCTGATGGAAAGAGACCAGTGGCCAACTGATGATCTCATGGTGTGTTTTGTGTGTTTGACTGAAATTCGTTGGACTGAAATGTGATGTGGTGGATGTGCATGGGAACAACACGTCCTCCACATCACAGCCTTTTCTTTTTAAAAACACAATCGTATAAACATTACTATTGTTCTAATTTCTGTTGGAAAGTACCGGGTTCTTTAAAGGCAGTCTGCGAACTTCTTGAAAGAAAAAAAAAAAGTATTTGTATGAAAGAAAATGCTGCAGAGCTGGTTGTTTCAGCTCAGATTATAGAAAATACTACACTGTAAAAACTACTGGGGTAAATCAAAGTCACACGGAAATGTGTGGATTTGTCTAATAGTCATTTTGAAGAAAGGCGTGTCAAGAGGTTTACAGGGATTAGTGTGCTTTCCTAAGGTGTGCCTTTCATCATTTTTCAAGGTTGTGAAAATGTAGGTGTACGACAATAAAAGTAGATATTTAATTGACACTTGCAGAAGTCAAAAGATGCCAGTCTGGGTTAGGGCTTGTGTTCGGTCAATGATTAATATATATTTTGAATGTTGCTATGTAGTCATAACACACTTATTAGTTTGTCAGACAGCTATTAAAAGTTGTCACGTTCACATAATCCTTAGTTAATTCATACTGCTCTGCAGTGATAATGGAAGTCCAAGTGATATGTTTACTGTGGGAACATGTGGGAATGTGAATGCTTTAATCTTATTCCCCCCACCTGGCAGTGACATACACAAGTAGCCACCTGCAGTCCATAAACTTTAACCTTAACCACATTAAAGGATGAGGTGGGTACTTGCAAGTGAGCTCCTGGACAAAGTTAATAGATGCAGGTTTAAGAAGAGAAGTCGTAAAACTGCCTTCATGTTTTTGGTTCTCCTTACACAAGAGTAAGTAGGTTCTGTGCAACTTCCTGGCATGATCTTTTTTTTTCTACCTCTGGTCAAGGGTTCCCCCCTGTGGTCACATTGTGCATCTGCAGACCATCGCATGCTTGTTTTTCTTTATTTATTCTTTATTTAAATAATATCTGACGGCTTAAAATGATAATTTCCTCTCAATTATTAGACTCAAAATTCGCCCAAGGGTCTACAAATCTAGTCCTCAAAATTTACTGTTCTGAAGCTTTTGGATACATAAATGAATGTTACCAGGATTTCAATCATTACATTAAAATAGGTTGGAGCAGGGATGCATCTACAACCTGAAGGACATCAGATGTAGTCCAGGACAAGGTTTTGAGACCCCTAAATTGACCCCTCTCAACATCATGTCGTTATTTGGTGTTGCACAGTGACCTCCAGTGGTTTAAAATTAAATGTTTCATGTCGACAAAAGGCATGTTTCTGTGGTGATCTTCACTAACGAGGAAGAAACCATCACTAATAAGCTTATTTAAGCAATTATTAGAGATCATGCATGCTTCATATATACATTTATAATTTTCCTGAGCATTTAACTAGTTTTATGATGTAAAAATCCAATTTTCTTTAACAATTAAAGTGCCATGCACTTTCTCTTAGACTAAATGACAGCATTGTTTAGTTGCAAAAAACCCCACTTTAAAACATGACCATATTTAAGAATTGAAAGTAACATCCTGTAAGTACTATAGTTAATTTTTTAAAATCTTATTAAAAGTGCAATTATTAGGGAAGAAAGACTACAGAGAGGAAATTTGACATTTGACATTTTATTGAGAGTGCTACATTGGGTTGCAGACATCGTGTACACAAACTCACTCAAACTGTGTAAATGCATTATCAAGATAAATATGAGGTCTTTTCATATTGCATTTTCAAGTTTCTGCGGACATTTACAGACTAAAAACACATCCGTAATTAATAATCCCACAGATGTTTCGTTCCTGCGCATCCCTTTAATCATCTTGCATATAAAAGTCTAGGTAATACTTTAATAAACAGGTCATAGAAAAGGCCCACACACATGTATTTCTGAAGACACCAACCTAAAAATCTGTTTTGTAAAAGAAGCTCAGCAAAACGTATAGCAGCATCAGCAAATAAACAACAGCTAAAGAATTGCTTTCTACAGCTGTGGTGTCAAAACTCAAATTACATCACAGACCAACATTAGCCACCCCATTTATACATAGTGTATTTTAAACTCCACAGGCTCCAGGAAGGCGGCCTCTGCCCTCTATTTCAGGACCTTTTCCCCCCAGTCGTGGGTAAGTTAGAAGGATGCCTGTGGTAATAGTCAGGTGGGGTGGTATTTGGGCTTGCATTTATCACACTTGGGACATAATACATATTCTCAAGGTACCTTTGGTCCAATGGTTGGTGGTTTTTGGGCTCTGGCTTTGATCCCTGTCCTGATGGATTCCTATAGCTGACCCCAGACCCACTTGGATGCATTGGAGGTGCAGCAGACGCCTCAGGATATTGGGGTGGTTGAGGCTGAATCTGGGGGTGGGCTAACGGAGGAGGAGCAGCACAGGGCATGTACTGAGGAGCCGGGGCATAGATGTTGTGGTTGTGGAGAGGCTGGAAGTGGGGTCCAGCAGGAGGGTACAGGCCTGAATGTGACATTGCCTGCTGTGGGATAAGCACTTCCACATACTGACCAGTCTCTGGGTCGAACAACATTTTCCTAAGGGGCTGCACAGGCACCTCAATATAAAAATACTTCCCTGTCTCAGGATCCAAGAGTACTCTACGGGGTGACTGTGCATAGCTACTTTCTGAATACACGCTAGAGCTGTCGCCGCCGTATTCTGAACCATAGGAGGGACCCATGCTTTGAGCGCCACATAGGTACTGAGGATCTATAGGAGGCAGGACAGGAGAGTGGCTGTGACCTGAATCAGTGTAAGGAGCCCCTGTCAGATTTGGTGGGTGCTGATGGGGAGATCGGTGAACAGGAGGCCGTCGAGCTCCACTGTGTTGCTGTGGCAGCAGAGAGCGGTCAGCAGAGCAGGCCTGCATGAGTGAAGGAAGGGGACCACAGGCAGCAGAGGGATGGAGAGGCTGATACATGGATTGTGGTTGGTTTGGACCAAGAGGGCTTGATTTTGGAGATCTTGGTTGGTAACCCAATGGCTGTGTTTCAGGTCGACAATGATGAGCGTGGAGAGGGGGCTGAGCCACTTGGTAAGGTAGTGCCTGAGCTGGAGAGTGTGATAGACCAGGTGGGGTAAGGTTATGAGGACTATGATGCTGGTGAGGAGAGGTAGGACCACAGTGTGAGGGGTAGACAGCTGTGCAGGAACAGGGAGGATGGCATGAGGGTTGATAACGATTTGGCCTTGCTGAAGTCATGTCAGGAAGCAAGAGTGGACTGAAGCTCTCTCTTTCATCATAGCTTGGAGGGTCATCTGAGGTATAAAAATGTTGCTCATCTATTCTTTGGGCATGCTCACTGGAGACTGTTCTTCTGTATGGTTGATGTGTATACTTTTGAGTTGTGGAAACAGCAGGCACCTGCTTCAGATTGTTGGAGCTAACAGGCATAGTTTGCTCATGAGCACATGTCGCCCTGGAACACTGTTGACCCTCTGGGTCCATTGAAGTAGATTGATCAACTTCAGATCGGGTAGATCCACCATTTTGATATTGATTTGGTTGTGGAACAAGTTGTTGGGCTACATCTAAACTGGTGTCTGATGTTGTAGTTTGGGATTCAGGTTTCTTAGCATGCCTGGAGCTCTGAGGCGAAGCAGCAGATTGTTGGTGCTGACCTTGGTCAGTAACTGCCTCTGTGTCTGAACATGCTGTTGACATGTTAGAGATGCTGGTGACATTGGCTGTTGTTGTTCTGTGAGGTGGTGGCTTAAGGTTTGACACAGCAGATACAGCAAGCTTTCTTGAATGATTTGATGCAGAGGCAGATTCATTGGAAATCTTCCTGTAGACTGTAGGTGAGCTCACTACAATTGTCTGCGGTCTCTCCTCATTTCGTTGTTTTCCACTAGAGGAGGCTGTTGATGCTCTCTGTGCTTCATTTGTCACATTTCCCAAATCTCCAGGTTTAAATTTGCAGTTTGGTTTTGGAGGCACTGCTGGTTTTTGCGAGTTTTTAGCTATTGATTTCACTTCAATCATTTGAGGTCTGTGGCTTCCCAAAGACGACGAGAGGATTTCTTTTTTCTCTGTTTCTTTTGATGGTGACCTGGTCTCACCTGGCTGTGGTTTGAATCTCCGTGTTGCTGGAGACCTGGGGGGGAAAGTAGGATCTAGCCTTTTGACTGCTTCAAAATCTCCTATAGTGTCATTTTGTTTGGTGGTGGTTAGTATTTGGTCCATTGTGTTCCTTTTTGTTGTTTCTGTGTCTTTCTTTGGAGGTTTAACGCTAACTCCCTCCTCTTCTGCCGGCTTTTCCAGGACATCTGCACTTTCAGTCATTGCTGAAGGGCCAGAGGTGGTGGAGGACGAGGAGAAGGTTCTCCCTCTGTGAGATTCAGGAAAATTTTTCTCTGAAGGAGGAATGGTCTGGAGAGGGATTTCCAAAGAGTTCACGTGCTTACAGGTAGGTCCTTTACCTCTAGTTAAGTTCTGACCGTCGCTCACCACTGCACCAATGTCAGCTTGATAACCTTTCTCCTTTAAAAGCATTGAAACAGAGTGGCCAACACTACCACCAGATGCACTGCCAGAAACAGGCGGGGTAGGTGAGAGAGAAGCAGGAACTTTGATTTGGCCAGAAGTCTCTTCTTGACTTAAAGATGCAGACATGTTGGATTTATTTGATTTCTCTCTTATTAAAACTACAGCAGTGGACACCTCCCTCTCCTTACTTGGCAGTTTAGGGAGGCTCCCGAGCATGGGAGGTTTTCGGTCTGTTCTAGCCAATGTGGGTTTGTCCTCACTGTCTGGCACTTTGTGGATTTCTGTCACATTCTTTCTCTTTTCTGTTGTGGTACTAATATCATGTTCACCAAGCTTTTGGGTCATCTTCTCTTCCATTGTGTGTTGTAGTCTGCTCGCTATCGAGTTTGCATCTGGGGAAGACAACGAAGAGCTTTGGTTTATATCGCCCAAATCTTTCATCATGTTTGGCATTTTATTTTTGTCATCTTTCCAGCAAACAGCCTTGCATTCGATTTGCATTGGTTGAGGACCAGATGGAGAATTTCTTTTATTCTGAGTTGAATGAAGTAATATTTGATTCATTGAATCTTTTGCTTCATTTTTCTCTTCGGGTGTTCTGTTGACCCAGAACTCTTCTTCTCTTTCCTCTTTCCTCTCTTCTCTGCTGGCATCCTTTAATACATTTATTTTCTCCTCTACTGACAGGTCCTCTCTTGTTTCTTCATTGCAGTTTTCTTCATTGATGCCTGATTGGTTAACAGGACTAACTGCCTTGAAGGACAAGTTGTATGTGTTTTTCACAAGCCGCCTTACATCTCTAACTTTGTGAATGGGAGCCTTAACGTTTTCATTCCCGACCCCTTCATCCTGTATTTTGTCTTCTGCTTCCTTCTCTCCTGCAAATCCATCTGGTGGAAAAGATTTGCTGTCTGCCTCTGGAGTGAGACAGACATTTAATGAGGCCTTCTTCTTTTCCACAGCTTTGAGTTTGATCTCCTGTGTTTTAGAGGTGTAGGGATCTTTGTCTCTGTGTTGAAGTTGTCTGTGTTGCTCTTTGTTTTCAACTTTTTGATCTCTGCTTGTTCCTCTTGCTGGTGTGATGCCAGAAGGACGTTCTGAGGGAGCTGCTGTGTCCCAAGCAGGTGCTTTCACTGGTGCGCCTACCACAGTTTCATGTGTTTGCCAGGACTGTAAACCACTTCTTTTACCTTCAAACGGTACACCACAGTTGGATTTTTTCTCTGAAGCTGATGATTTAGTACTTCGCGTTTGGGAATCAGCTTCTTCGCTGTCAGTCTGGGAGAAGGTGACACTTCTGCCACTGCTGGATGAACTTGGTCTATAACTAGATTTTAATCCATGGTCCTTAGGCAGGGTGGCTTGATCCTTCATGCCTGTTTCTCCTCTCAGTGAAAGTCTCTCAGATGAAAGGCTGTGATCTGACTGAAGACTGGAACTCAGATTACTAGAGTCAAGTTTCGGTGATTCTTCAGATGGTGCTACGGCACTCTCTGTTGGTGGGCTCACTTCTTCTCTTGCTTGCTCATCAGGCTGTGTGTCAACACCTTGCATCTTCTTTGACAACACGTTCTTGATGAGGCATGAAGCAATCTTGGTTTTAGAGTATGTTTCATCCATAGAAGCAGATTTCTGGAGTTGGGGCTGTCTTTCTTTTTGCTGTGAGAGCTCAGAGCTGCTCTCACTAGGGGGAGTTTCTTGCATTGCTGCTGGTGTGCTGTGTTGCCTCACAAAGATACCTCTAGGGTGAGTCTCTTGAGAGGGGCTTTCCACCATAACTGGTAGTCCAGGACTGCTATTTTCACTGTTCTCATCCTGTTTCCCTTCAGTATTATTCCGCCTCTTCAGTTGGATCTGTCTTTTTGGCACTCCTCTTCTTACTTTCCTGCAGTCCTCTCTTTCCACAGCTACATCTATGCATTCAAAGCTTCCTAACTCACATCTTCTGGATGGATCTAGGCAATCTAAACTGTGAGGATATTGCTGATGAGAGGAGAGTTCATCAAGGTCAAGCTTTGATGCAGAACCTCTGAAGTCAGCATAGGACAGCCAGGCAGCATTGACCCCAGCTGGACTGTCCTGGGTAGATGGTTGAGAAATGTTTGTAGATGAACAGTGGCTGGAGTTGTACATTTCCAAGTAGTCTACTTCAGGACTTGACAGGCTGCAAAAAGCCACATCTGTAAGCCACTTCACCTCATGGTCTGCTTCATCAAGTTCACTTCCCATACTGGAGCTGGAGCTCTGACATGGCCTGCTCGTGGACACGCGTCGAGGCACACTTCTCCTGTCCTGAGATGTGGGAGGTTTAAGTCTTCTGCTGGCGCTGCAACCGCTGGGGTCTGGCTGAGATGCAAGTTTAAGCAGACTGTGTTGTTGCTGTAGCGGTCTTGTCGCAGGGAGACTCTCTGAATAAGAATGTGCTGTTGGCAGTCCCTGGCGCGTCTCTCTGGTTGTGGGAGCTGCACTGCGAATCACAGGTCCTTTTCTATTCCTGGCATTGAATGACAGCTCAACCTGTTCCCCTCTGTAACTGGCAACCCCCTGCAACCCCTCTTCTCTTTCAGGAGCCTGCTCCTCCCTCTTTCGCTCTCTGTCTATCTCCCTACCCATTTGCCTCTCCATACCTACATCCCTCTCCTCCTCCAATGGCATTTCTCTGTCCATCTCCAATTGCTTTCCAATTCTGACCCAATGGGCCTGGCTATTATTGTCAACAGGGTCAACATTGGGGTTTTCCCTATTTGTCGCTGCTTCCTTTAAATGACCACACAGTGAGGATGCTATAGCTTCAGAGGGGCTATTGCTTCTGTTTTGCCATTTTCTGTGTGGTTTCTGAGGGGCTATAATGTGAACAGGTGTAAATCTGGTAAGAGGTGGAGAAGGAGTACGCCGCCTGTTTTTATAACGGGACATGTCCCCCGCCAGCTTCTCCCTGTTGTCTTGTATAATTTTGGGTAACAGCTGTCTTCTTGAGTTCTGAGGCGTGCAAGTCGAATCTGGCAGATAAATATTACTGTTGGAGGGGACCAGAGGATGGAGCTTTTCCTGTCTTTGCCCAAACTCCTTGGATGCTGCTCTATGAACTCTGTGGCTTGTAATATCGCGGGAAGGAGACTCGATTTCTTCTTGAGAAAAAGGGGTTTGAGGGTTGTGTTTTTTCTGAGTGGAGGTGGCTACACCTGATATTTCTTGACAGTGCTCTCTCTTTTTTGCCTCTCTTTTTTCTGTGATAAGTTGTATCTGTGAATTGCGTGACTTTTTATCTGATAAGACAGATATCGGAGTGCAAACTTCCACCACTGAAGAGTTGCTCTTTATTTCAGTAGCACCAGTTTCCAATCTCTTCTCTAATTTAAATGAAGGTGACACAACTTTCTTTGCCAGATGTGTAGGTGATGGTATTACTGTGGTACCGGCAGTAATGGTCTCCGTCTGAAGCTCAGCTGTGAGAGGAACAGGTGTTGCATACAGGTGGTTGAATTCTGTAGACTGTGTTGTTACTGATTCCTGGAATATTTTCTCTGTAAATGGAGTTACAGGTGATGAATGCTGGTGCTGAGATGAAGGACTTAGGCAGTCGTCTGGTGAACAGGTTAGAGATCTTGGTTCAGGTGATGGTGTGCAATAGTTTGGCTGAGGAGAAGGTGTTTGGTTCTTGAGCTGAGACGGTGAGGCAGAACTTTGGATGTCTGATAAATGTGGAGAGTTTCTTTGACTACCAGTGGACTGTGCTATACTGGTGTCAACACTGTCTTTACCAGTCTCAGAGGACACAAGAAAATGAGTTGGCTCTGGGGAGGAGGTATGAGAAAGTTCTGGAAATGGGGAACCTGTCCTACCCTCAGCCTGCACAACAGAATAGGACACCCCTGCGATTTGAGGGGAGAAAGAGAAGCTTCTTGGTGACACAGAGCCAACTTGTTGCTCTGTGAGAGAAGACTCTGAAACCTCTTTGTCTTGACAGGGCCACTCTTTCCTGATTAGATCAGAAGGGGGTGCAACAGCACCTATCTCAGGTGTGTGAGAAGTATATTTTTTTTCTAAAGATGAGCTGTTCTGGTGCAGTCCAGGTGATGGAGTTACTTGAGAGTGTTGTTCTTTCCTTCTGAGCTCTGGAGAGGAGGAGAAAATCCTTACTTCAGGGGACGGAGAATTGTACCGTTCCTCTGAAGGCGAGGCTCTCTGATAAAGTTCGGGTGATGGATTTATTTGAGAGCTATGCTCGTTACTGAGCTCAGGAGAGGAGGATATAATCCTTATCTCAGGTGATGGGGAAGTATATATTTGTTGTAAAGGCGAACTGTTCTGCTGCACTTCAGGTAATGGAGAAAAACTATTACTAACCACAGGTGAAGACACCTGACTCCTGATTTCAGAAAGCGTTAAACGGTTTTGTACTGTAGGCGAAAGAGCAGGCGATGGACTTCTTGACCCAGTGTTGGTTAGAAAGGCAGGGGGAGGCAAGTGAGGGGGGATCCTTGCTTCCCTTATTCCAGCTGGAACTCTATCTTCTACAAGCTCAGGAGACGTGGCGACTGAAATGACAGGAGAAGGGGGCGTAAACCTCGGGCCTGGTGTGGAAACAGAGCTGCCTGGTCCAGTTGATAATCCTGTGTCCTGGCTCTGAGGCGTGGCCGTGATGTCTCTTCCAGCAATGGAAAGATCTGAAATAAGTTCAGTGGTGTTGGCAGAATCTTTTATATCAGGTGTGGATTCTCTGCTAAAGAGATCAGGTACAGATACCCTTCCTCTTGATTCAGAGAAAGGAGGTAATGTTTGAGTGGTGGGGGAAGGAGAACTGTTTCTGAGCTGAGGGGAGACTACCTGCCTGTCCGAGGGAGATTCCGAATCGACACCATGGAGAGTAGAAGATGAAAAATTGATTCTTGATTTAATATCTGTATATTCCTGAGAAAGGTCAGTGGAAGTCTCAGGCAGTGAACTGCTGTTTTGATTTAACTGGCTGGCTTCTGGTTCAATTACATTGTGTGGAAGCGATGGACTTAAAGATTGATTTGAAGGATTACTCTGTCTGTCCTTGAATGAAGGGGTTATTGTACTTGATTCAGTTTCTCTGTACGATTCCTCAATGTCAGGTGATAGAGGTGAAAGTCTTTTTTCAGCAGAGGAGGAAGACAGTGATGACAGCCTCCCTTCTGGATTGAAGGAACTGGGGCTATTATATCCAGGAGAAGGTGTTGTCTCACCACTGTTGAGGCCTTGATACGATGGGGTGAGTGATGATGGGGTACTCGTATTGTGCAGAAGTACTGGGGTTGCGGTTTTTGGTTCGAAATTTGCAACGCTATCTTTAGCAACTTCTGGATGTTTTAAATTGAATTCTTTTTCATCTGTTTCCCTCCCATCTGAACACTCTTTTTGCCCAGCAGGGCTGTAGCACCGTTCTCTTGAGTCATCGGACCCCTCCTCTCCCTCGCTTGATCCAGGTGCGGTGTGATAGCTGCCAGAAGAATCGTTCAAATCATCCACTTGTGGTGTGGTGGCAGCTCTTCCTTCCAACTCTGTCTGGGAAGGTACAGCGGGCCCTGCAGCGGGACTGCTTGACAGGGACGCTGACTCACCGTCGTCTCCGAAAATGTCGCACAGGCAGGTGGTCTCAGAGATGACACTCCGCTGAGTGGGGATGTTGATAATATCAAAGATTTCAACGTGGTTCGGGGTACCCTCTCGATGGCACAGGGAAAATGTGCGGGGCGCACTGCGCATGAAGGAGTAGCTGTCCCCCTGGAGAGTCCAACTGTCCATCGCTACACCATGAGCTCCAAAGATTCACGGTGGCCAGTCCTGCCCGCTCCTCCTGGGGGCTTATGGCTGGGGTCCTGGAAAAAAACAAACAAAGAAAAAAAGATCACCTGAAGAGCATATTCATTTTACTACAAGTAGATTAGATAAAAATGACTAAGTTAGGGATAACAAATGTTGATGTGCACTATTTAAGCTTCATTTGGATTTAAAACATCAGAAAATCAAAAATGAACAAAGTCACCATTTCCTAAAAAGCAATGACACTCAGTTAATCTAATAAAAAAAAAAAAGATTATTTGGTTTCATGACATTTACGGAATCTAAATATACTCTTTAAATTATTTTAATAGAATAATAGTTTTATGTTATTTCAAATTATCTTTGCAAATGTGGAACCCTCTGTTAGTCTCAAATGTAGTGATAACCACAGAAACACACATGTTCATGCTTCATTATATGCAAGAAGAGAAACTCTGACTGAGTTGTACTGTACCTGCGGCCACCGATGTAACGTTGTCTGATGGTTCCGAGCTCTTCTGTAGTGAAAAACCCACCCCTCATTCAAAAAATGGTCTCTCAAGTCTGCAAATGACTCCAAGGTAAAAAGACCTTGTTCATCTCCAAACAGCTCTACATCTCTGACTGACAGAGCCGGACTGACTGGCTAACCTCAGAATATGGATAGCACTGCCATCTATTAGGCTTGAATAGAAAAAGAAAAGAGGAGGAACCTCCTTAGACATATTACATCCCCTAATACTCATTTCTGCCCCGCCCCTCTGATCTGGCAGCAGGGAAAGAGCTTACAGCAAGTAGCTCAGAACTTTTCTTTTTTTTTTCTTCTCCAGACTGAGGTTTGCATGGGCATTGGCTTTCCAGTGCACGCTGGGGTGGGGTACCTCATGGGGTGGGTGGGTTTATAGTTAGCAGCAGATGCTGATCAGGCCGGGACCAACGAGCGCGCCTGGAATCTGACACTTACAGCCAGCTCAGTCACATTGCTTGTCTATATATAGACCTACATTATCAGGGCCAGAAAGACATAGCTTTAGTTCTTCGAGTGGGTGTGCTGGTGGGGAAAGAAAGAGTAAATATCGTCCTCGAAGAATGGCATATTCATTGTTCACTTTGACACAGCTTTTAATGGGGCATTTAACACAGAGGGTGCAGAAAATCGAACTTTGCGTGTAGGTGTAAATGAGGCTCTGCTGTGGGATGGCTATTGAGGGAGGTCAAAGGTCGACACAGACTATCCAACATGGTCTCACATGAAACACTCACTGCTGAGCTGGCAGCACTTGTATGGTGAGGTGAAGTAACATATTTTAAGCCACTTTTTGCCCCGCAATATCTGCAAATGGCCGTTTTTCACAAACAACTGACTCAATACATTTTAAAATCACAATCTCATAAACCAATCCCACTCGAAGCAGGTAATGATGTCATTTTACGATACTTATCCAAAAGTAGTACAAAAGCAAAGCCTAATCATGCTATACTGAGGGAGTCCAGACATGTATAACGAGGGCGAAGTTAGATAAGCCCCCTATTCCTATTATAATACCTCATGTCATTACCAATTATTCTAAGTCATTAAGTCATTCATCGGCAGCTAGTGGAAAACCTCTGAACAAAAGGTTCCAGTTTGATCACATCTCACTGGTAGAACAACGTGCTATTTTTACTTTCTATGACGACCTTCGAATGGTGCGCCTGATTTGAGCCGTCCATGTGGACATGAATCTCGCTTCAAACACTGTGGATGTTAAGGTTTTTACTTTTGCTGGGATTCACAATGTCACAAACATGTGAAGACATTTATTTTGCCATAAAATATAGACAAGGAATTAGGTTAAAGCTAACCAAACTGGTTTACCATATTGGTTTTTATTGTACAACTGCTCATCATTACAGTTGTGAGTTTTTAATATTAGTAAATGATATCAAAAATTTAGAGGGTCTTTCCAGATATTACAAAATTCATGTATAACCCTTTATTTTATTTTATTTTTTACAATATTTCATCACTATTTTGTTTTTATTTTACTACAAAATGAACAACTAAGGCAACAAAAACAGGACTGAATATGACAAATATCCGAGGTTTCACAAGAATCAGTCTTGTTTGTGTAAGATACTTGTATGGGACACTTTCATTAATATACACGTAAAGAAATTCAATCGTTTTTTATTAATTGGCTGATGCATTTTCCACACCCTTTGCTCAACCTAATAAAGAAAACATGCAGGTAAAGCAAAAGGTCTTCACTTGAAGCCCGATAACAGCCCCAGTTATGAAATTTGAAGGCAATTAGGAGTTTCAAAAGCAAACTTAGCTGCCAGCGAGGATTAAGAACTGAAACAACTTTTGATGAAAAATCGACTTTTATTTTGGAATCAGCAGCTAATGCAGAACGCGACGCAGGAAGTTCCGCATTACGACTGCGGATGAAGATAACAGACGAGTGGCTAAGGCTAATGTTGGCTAACTAATTAGCAGGACAGGTGCGTGTTTTTGGTTCAAACTTCGCCTCTCTGTTCATTTGACCTGTTGCGGATGTTCTGGGTGCTGCGTCGATGCCAGACGGTGAACGCCGGCGTGTTGTCATTGTGTTCCCGGGTTGTTTGGGCCTTGTCGGTCGGCAGCAGGCTAACGCCGAACAGCAGCTGCTCCCCTCTCGTTTGTTTACGTTAGCTCTGCGGCTTGTCATTTTTTCCCCCAAGTTATCTCACGAAAAGAAAATGGAAGGTTCCCAACTTTTGGGACGACACAGACAAGCTATTGTAAATATTTCGGACTCCACGTGAAACGAGCTACGCTTGTCTTTTTAAAGGGAACGATACGTTTGAGCTCTTGTAGCTGGCTAGCCGTGGAACATAGGTGGACATTTTCTGCACTCTGGTTTTAAGCCGTGAGCGACAGCAAGTAAACATCTATCAGCGGGCAAAGCACATTTAACTAACGCATTTTGATATTTATGTGCTACATCGCTAACCATAACAGAAGTCCCAAAGTAGGAAATAAGTCGTGTTTTATTTCCTTTTTTTGGATGATTTAATTTCGCTCCTTTTTGTGGGAATGTTTCGTTAGTAAACAGCAGGCCGCAGGATGCTCTGACTCCTTTCAGGAGTGTTCGGGGCCTTGTTTGTTGTCTGCAGTACTAAACAACGACAAAACTTTTAATTTGGGGGACACCCTGTATGAAAAGATTGCTACCATTTTCATCATCACACGCAGAGTTTAAGTGTTCAAAAGCATAAACAGCAAATTTGATGCAACTTGTTCTCATTCCAGTTTTCTGTTATCTTAAAGTAGCATCCTGAAGAAACAGCTGACATGCCTGGATACAATCCCCCGCCCCCTCTGTTTACCTCTATTCAATTAGATTGACAAATGACTTAATTTTCCAAAACCTCACTGATGCTAAAGACTGCCAAAATCGCATCCTCAGGAATGTTTGTGTGGCTTGATGGTGTGTTCACTGATTGGAGAAAAGATTGGACATTTAGTTTGTGACCAGCTCATGATAAATCAGGCCAGATTCTGGTATCCAAAAGATCTCCCCTGTTAGAAAAACTTGGTAAACAAGACCAATTCATCTACTGAAAATGTGAAAGTCTTTGATTTTCTGTTCAATTACTGTTGACCACTGAGAGTCTCTTTTTTTTCACCAAACAAAAAAAAAAAAAATATAATCGCTAGGATATTTTAGAAATCATTTGTATTTAAACTAACAAATCTAAAATGTATTTTAAAAAAATGTTTCAATACTCATAACTATATATATAAAAAATCAAAACAATCTTCTTGATATTAAAAATAATGGATTTGAGCAATGATAATAATAATAATTAATAATAATAGAAATGGCATTAAGGACAAATGAAATGGGAAATTAAAATCATCACCATCATTTTATATCTTAATCATTGATTAATCAAATACAATTGAGTCTTGTGCGGAAATAAAACCACCCTCCAGACTTTGGATAAATTTTTTGTGGTCCTGTTCCTTTTAATTTCAGGTCTTTGCCATCGTGTGTTTCAGCCTCAACCATGGAACAGTGTGCATGTGTGGAGCGGGAGCTGGAGAAAGTGCTCCACCGCTTCGTAATGTACGGCCACCAGTCTGAGGAGAGGCTAGATGAACTTCTACGCAGTGTCTGTGAGATACGTGCACAACTAGTTGCTTTTGGTGAGGAAAACACTGGCACAACTGGGATGAAAACTGTAACTTTGGAAGATGTATTAGTTCCAAAGTTTTATAATTTTGACAGAAAATCCATCTGCTTCATCCTTATTCATTGTGTATGGCTTACATTTGGATTCTGATCTAATTTCTTTTTCTGTCCAGCAGGAGTACAAGATGCAGACCTATCAGTCCTGTCCCAGAATATGGCCCAGTGTTGTAAGAATATTAAAGAAACAGTACAGATGCTGGCATCTCGACATAAAGACATTCACGGCAGCGTGTCAAAAGTTGGCAAAGCCATCGACAGGGTAAGAAGAGAAAATTTTATTTTGTAAGAATGAAAATTTTACATGCATTTATTTCACTTTTTCGATACTCCTCTGTAGAATTTTGATGCAGAGATCAGTGCGGTGGTGGCAGAGACAGTGTGGGATACCCCAGAGAGACAGAAACACCTTAGTGAGTCCATTGTGGAGCACTTGTACCGACAAGGGATGCTCAGTGTGGCAGAGGATCTTTGTCAGGTAAGTTAAAATCAGCAAAGTTTTGTCTGTATCGTGGCTTGAATGTCTTTGAGATGCTTCCTCTGGCAATTGTCCAAATGTAACTCAATTTACACAAAATTTTATATATAATAATATTCCCATCTGCTAATTGTCACTGGTAATTATCTTCTTATTTAGTTAAAAATTGCTTGTGATAATGTTGGAAAAAAAATTAAAGGAGCCTCGTATGGCACCGTTGTGTTGCATTGTGTTATTTTGGGCTTGGATTCTCCATTTCCAGGTCATGTTGCACGTAAAAATAAATCAAGAAATGTTGCAGTGACCTGCCTCCAAATCTAGAGACAGTGATGTTGGTGATAGTGCTCCTGTAGCTGTTGATCTATAAGATTATACATAAATCATAGATAAAATTCTAATGTTTTGTTGAAAACTGTTAAGCAGGAGAAGTTTTTAAGCAGTACTGTGGTTTGTTCTGACTCACTGTGTAACTGAATATTACTGACATCTAGTGGTTTATTGGAGAAATATGCTGCCTTACAACATATTGCAATTACATTATTTGGCTAATTTACTTTTCATTAAGTAAAAAACTCTTTAATATCTTTCATGTTTTTATTCTTTATCTGTGATCACATTTTCTGCCAAAATCTAGTATATTTTTGTTTTGCCGTTTTATGTTTGTTTTATTTTCTTTAGTGTTCAGGCCGTCCTGGGCATTTCACACCTTTTTCCTCTTCATTCTTTGTCAATTTTGGTTATTGAAAATAAAATCTTTACCTACTGGGCTGATTTGAACCAGCCATGTGTTAGTTTGTACCCACCAAAAAGGTGCTTTATAACTATTTTCACAAAAAGTTATTTCTAGTAATTTACCTAAAATTAGCTCATAATGAACAGCAAGAGTCTGGCTTTGTTATTTAAATAAATATTGTTTATCACCAGGAGGTTGTGTTATTTTGGCTTTACCATATTTCAGAAGAATTGACTGAACTGAACATCGACCAGGATTACAAACAAGCACAGTGTGATATCAAGTCTCAAGAAAATAAAATTCATTTTAGAGTTTTATGAACATTGATCTCCATTATTCATCAAAATACTTAACCAAATGAAAAGCACTGATAGGCAAAAATTAGCAAAAGAATGTTTGCAAGACGTTTCTTGCTTCCTTTTAAAATAAAAACAAAAAGTTGCTCCTTCAGCAAAAATACCTGCTAGTGAAATGGTATTGCAACCTTTGCATCACTTATTAAATTCAATAAGTTAATTGTACCCAGTAAGTTAAATACAATTAACTTACTTATTAACAAATAAGTTAATTGTATTTAGGGAACTACTTTCTGCTGTAATTGCTTGCAGCTTCGTCTACATTGCTCCAATTTTAGATAAAGAAAACATAATTGGTGGAATAAAAAATAAATTACAAGTAACGTGTTCCTATGAATTAATAGAGCATAGATGAAATGAAGTACACATTTCTGTTTTTTCAGGAGTCCGGTGTAGTTATTGACATGAGTATGAAGCAGCCTTTCCTGGAACTAAACAGGATCCTTGAAGCTCTGAGGATGCAGGATCTCAGGCCGGCATTAGAGTATGGAAACCACTCAGACACAAAGTGATTCACTGCTGCGTACCTTTACTTAACTGGGGTGGCCTCGCTCTCGTGTATATTTCTTTTAGGTGGGCCGTCTCAAATCGCCAGCGTCTTCTTGAACTGAACAGCAGTTTAGAGTTCAAGTTGCACCGTTTGTACTTCATAAGTTTGCTCAGTGGAGGAATCGGCAACCAGATGGATGCCCTGCAGTACGCCAGGCACTTCCAGCCTTTCGCATCCCAACACCAGAGAGGTCAGCAGCTGGAAGAGATTATGCAAGATGAGCTATTACCTGATGTTGATTTACATTTTATGTAAACGGATGAAAGTAGATTTCAAAAAACACAATTTAAACTTCGGTAGCTATTTTTTTATTGTTCAGCAGGAATAAGGTTGGATTTTGGAATAAATGTTTTTGTAAAACTAGCCTCCATTCAATTGCAGATATCCAGATCTTGATGGGCAGTCTGGTCTATCTACGTCATGGCATTGAAAACTCTCCGTATCGCAGCCTGTTGGAGACAAATCAGTGGGCTGAGATCTGTAACATCTTTACCAGGGATGCCTGTGCTCTACTGGGGCTCTCTGTAGAGTCTCCACTAAGTGTTAGGTGAGTAGAAAATGGGTTGCTTAAAACACATAGACTTACTTTTTTTCTTTTTAGTACTGAAGAGCAGTACTAAAAAGGTAATGCAACAATGAGTTTTTGGGATAATCTTTTGCTCTAATTCCATTGAGAGTGACATTAAAAGCAGATCATTTTTTATAACTATACAGTCTGATTAAAAATGTATTTCTGAGACATTGCCAATATTTCTCATTTCAGTTTTGCGTCGGGATGCATGGCCTTACCGGTGCTGATGAACATCAAACAGGTGATCGAACAGAGACAATGCAGCGGCGTGTGGACGCACAAAGATGAGCTCCCTGTAAGTCACATTTTATCTAGATTCACCACCATGTCTTCATGCAGTGTGGGCTTTCGGTCATTTCCTTTTCTCTCTGTACACGAAGATTGAAATTGACCTGGGCAAGAAGTGCTGGTACCACTCGGTGTTCGCCTGCCCCATTCTTCGGCAGCAGACCTCAGAGAGCAATCCCCCCATGAAGCTCATCTGTGGCCATGTCATCTCCAGAGATGCACTCAACAAACTCACCAATGCTGGGAAGTGAGTTGAAATGACTTATTCTACGTTTTCTCACTTTGCAGGGTCAGTCTTTAATGTGTGTAATTTGATGGGCTAGATCAAAAGAAAGTAATTAGAATAAATATGTTTAGTAGTTCTTTATTTAAAAAAAACAGAAAAGTGTTGCATGAATTTAAATTCAGCTGTCCTCAGTCAGAACTTTGCAGAGCAACTCTTTGCTTCAATTAGAGCTTCAAGTATTTCTCTTTACCAGCTTTACATGCTAACAAACTTCTTTGTCAAATAGCTGAAGCTTATTCAGATTGTGTTTAGGTCGTATAGAAGTGATTTGACCTAACTCATTCCATAGTGGTTGCATGTTTGATGTTGATCTGCTGGAAGGTGAGTTTTTGGCACCGTTTCAAGACTTTTGCAGACTCTCAGTGGGTTTTGTTCCTCTGATCTTCTATTAACACAAGCTTTCCTTTTACCATTCTTCCATGAGGTCCACATTTTTCTGAGTTTATCCTTTCTAATCTTTAGATTTCTGCAGCCCCTTCAAGAGCTAAGATGGGCCTCATGGAGGCTTTGCTGATTTTTATGTTCTGCTTCCTCACTCAGTCAGTTTAGATGAACGACTCTGTCCGGAGTTTCCTTTTTCAGATGATTTGTTGAACGATTCTTTGTTGGATGTTCAAAGCTTTAGAAATTGCTTTGTCACGTAATCCTGCTTTAAACTCGTTAAAAGCTGTGTTCTTTGTGATGCTGTTTGTTCATTGATATTGAACATTTTCAGCTGCTTTTATACTGAGATTAAATTGCACACTAGTTGACCAGGTTTACTTTTTAAATTGACCTGAGAATTGCTTGAAAAGATGAAGTTGATCACCGAACGTTAATTAAACATGCTGCTGTTCTCCCCCGCAGGTTGAAATGCCCTTACTGCCCCATGGAGCAGAACCCGTCACATGCCAAGCAGATCTATTTTTGATACCATGCACTCTCCTCGTCAAGGATGAAGTTACCTGGAGCTCTCTGAATGTCCAGGACCCTTTGCTCTGGCCCCTGTCCTCTATCCCTGGCCTCTCGGCCTGTTTATTGTAAAAGCATTAAGGTTTTATTCCAGTGCTCCTCCGGACGGCCTCCGCAGTCCTGTAACCCAACTCGGACCCTCCAACTTTGCATAGCATTCAAGTCCTGCACGGTTGGTCGAACGAAAGCTTGTAGTAGAGTGAAGAGTCGATCAGGTTGCCTTCGTAACGAAGCGCCTTCGAAAAGATCATAGAAATTCATTTAGAAATGCCTGCAGAGTAATAGGCTTATCATATGTATTACTTTCTATTGTTTAGTTTTTTTTTTTTTTTTGCTTTTTTGACTTTTGGGTTGAACGAGTTGTTTTTTTCTTTTTATTTAAAAGCAGAGAGATAATTACAAATGGGTTTAGTGTTTGAGGTAAATGGAGTCGATAGGCAGAGTCTGCTTTCAGGACAGTGATAAACTTGTATTACTTATGAGATAACCCTCAGAGTAGCAAACTCCACTGAACGCTGATAACATCCTGGTTAAGGGGGAGGAAAAGTGAGGTGATCTCCCTTTAATTGAACTCTTGATCGTGGCTCCTTCATGTCGTACTAAAGGCCTGAAAGCCACTGCTGGTTGATGAGTAAAACAATGAATTCCTCAGCGGTTGGAACAGCTTTCTTTCTTTCTCTCGTTCCGTTTTTGTTTCCTCCTGTGACTGACTGCACCAGCAAGATTTTCCTCATTCTAGAAGCCATTTGTCTTGTTCTGTGTGTGTATTTAACAAAAGTGACAAAAAGCAAACAAAAATATACAGTGTACTACTGTGAAATGTGTTCTGTTCCTATTTTCCTTCACCACCACCACATATATAGTACTTACCTTGCACAGGAACACACTTAATCAGCACTATTGCGTAACTAAGATAAGTGACTCAAAAGCCTACTCCACTCGTGCCATCGCTTCAGTCTGTGTATCCTAAGCTAGCACGCCATGTGACTTGGAGATGTAAATTGGTGTGATGGTAGCCTTATAGTATGACTTGCAGTGACTGTGGGCTTGTGAAGTTTTACTTGTGGTGGGTGGGTAAGTCTTCTGGTCATTGTGGCAGTTGTTTTATATATAAACATATATATACTCAAGAATGCCTCTGTTTGATTCAGGAAAGTGACAGTAAGATCTTCACAGTTCCTCAGGGTTCATGTTAGTAACTCATACCACACTTTACATTTAGTATTAAAAAAAAAAAAAGGAAAAAAAAAGTGCATTTACATACGGAGTTATTGTATTACATTTTACACAGTTGAAGCCAATGGTTGGCTGTGGGAGTTCCTGGAGTTTGTACATACTCTGTGTTTCGTGCGTCAGGTTGAACTTGGAGGAGGCGTGAAGGCGGCTGGATGTGCAGCACAGCCTGTGCAGAGCTGACGCAGGTTCCCGCCGTCCTCCCGGACATATATGGTGATGTCACCTCACGTTCCCGTGAGGCAAGCTTCCTCAGCAAACTTAACGCACCAGCATCGCTGCCCCCCAACACCCCACACCAATGGTGCACCGTTAATCTCCGTTTCAAAAAAACGACTTTATATCCTGTTTTTATTTTATTCCCTCACTTGGTTGACAATCATTCACCGCTTCTCTCAGTCTCCCTCTGGATAGAATGCGAGCGTGTTGTATACTCCTTATCCTCTAATTTTTGCTAAATGTTTTGCTTTTGTGTGTTATGCAACTTTTACTGTACATATTTATCCGCTAACATGTTTCATATATTTGCATCTGATATTCAAAAATAAAATAAAAATATACTCCAGTCAGTTTTGTAGGACTGCTTCTCCGGTGAAATGCCATAAACATTCATTTTCTTTCATCGCCACCCGGTGGCGCCGGTGCCGCATTTTCACATCTTGCTGAAAAGCTGCCTTGAAATTTGAGAATCTTTGGACCGTCAACTGGAGCAGAGCTACTTTTTTGCTGATGAGAAATATTCCTCCAGATTTGAGCATCGTTTTAGTGTTTGGATCAACAGCAGTGATGGGATCCAGCACAGCAACACTCCCACAGAGTGAAAAACATGTGAGATAAGAGCCTTTTCTCATCCCACTTCAGTAAATCACTCAGCCTCTCTGGAGCTGTGCAGTTATAATAATCCCTGGTTTATATAATGTTTAAATGCCAGGCTAAGGGCCACGTGAGTCAGCGGAGCTTGTATCTGTTCAGATTACGACCCTGCAACAAAACAAACCTGCATCACCGACTCGCCCATGCTCTCTCACACTATTTTTAGTCGCCCTCGCTTATTTTTCTTTTCGTCCACATCACATTTGGAGTAGGAACGAAGTCTTGAACCGTTTGTTTCTCGCGCGATTTTTGTGATATTAAGCTCTTTTATTTGCATGGGATTTCCGTTGACCTTTTGACCTCTCTGCGCACTGTTCCACCAAAAGACGCAACGCGAGAAGAAATCATCCAAGATTTGCCGTCTGAAAATGGAATTAATCCAAAATACCAAAGATACTCTAAAGAATTTAAGGCCCTTGATTTTAAGTACTTTAACCAGAATGAATGCAAAACAAAGATTTGTTTATTCTGTACAGTTTTAATTCCAGTAATTTGACAAGTCACAGTATATTCAAAGATTAACAGAGAGCTGGTTTGTGAACATTTATAGTTAAGAAAGAATACATCTTGTTTCTCTTCAGTCATGCATTTGGGGGGACTAATTTAGCCTTTATTTACAGCTTGCGGTTGCTTTGTACTGCAATCAAACAATGTGGAAGTTGACAGATTTCACAGTTTTAAGACGACAGTCTCTTTGGAGGACAACCACAGAAGGTGAATTGAACTAAAAGTGCAGGTATGTACAAAATTTGTGCCGCTCACCTGAAAGGAGACCTAACGAGGGAACTATGTTCAAGAGATGCGCACCAGACAGATACTTGTTCTTTTGTTCTGCGGCAGAACCAGAAAAGCAGCGTTTTTACATGAATTCAGCTGAAAGACTAGAGCAGTGATGCTCCTGCAAACCTTAATCAGGTCCAGAGTCAAAAGAGGAGATGCGCCCATGAGAGTGTCGTGTCCAATTTCCGTTCTCTGGGTTTTGTGAACCTTTGGCCGCGACTAAAGATTAGACCGCTCCAGTTCATGTGAAGAGCCACAAATGAATTGGCCTTTAAAATATTTCTTCTGTGCCTTCCTGCCGTAAGTGACCCTAAATTAAATCAGTAGGTAAAGTCCTTCTGTCTGGGATTTCGGTAATTTAATCATCTGTCAGTTTCCACGGCTTTACCGTCTTTAATCCGGACTTCCACTTTATCAGTTTGCTGTGTTATAAATACTAAACAATAAAACTCAGTCTGATGCATTAGAGCCTATTGAAGGATTCATGCAAGTTATTCTGAATTTGGAAAGTTTAGATTTTCGACTATAAGAAGCTTTTCCACCAACTCTGACCTCAAAATCCAACATGGTTGCCTTACATGTAAACCTATTGATATCCATAGTAACAACATGCTTATTAACCCATGTCAACTTTCTTGCACACATTGCACACTTGGGACTTTTGTAATGGCACTTGTGGAAGTTTTCTCCACTGTGCCAAGGAGATCAATGAGCTTGAAGAAGCAAGGAAACATTTCGTATCGGTACCAACTAGCTCTACATCACTGTCATGTAATCCATTCATGTATTTGCTGCTTGGAAATAAGTAGGCTGGGGATTTCTTGAGTTCATCGAAATAAAGCCACAGTTTAAAAACCCTAGAGAATGCACACACGCCTTCTTCATCCTGAGATTTTTAAAAGGCAGCCAAGTTTTCTGAAGCAACATATTCAGCCTTCGTGGTATCTGGTGAAGATGGCTTATGGTCAACTTTCCCCTTTGTGAGTTGAACAAAACTTTCCCATGGAAGGTGGAAATGACCTAACAAGGCAGGCAGGCTCCTTTTCCTTTCTGAAAAAAGTTGGGTATAAAGAAACTACAGTTGCAGAAGTAGGAGCAGCAAAAATGCTCCTTTGTTAAACAACTTTGATCCTAAAAGTAACTAACTATAAACTTTTCTAGGTTTATAGGAGTCAGTCAGAAAAGCTGATTCCAGGCAACAGCCAGTTGCTTGTTGGATCTGTAGGGACCTCACTAATTGAATGCTTTGGTCATCGTCACCAAGAAGATCATTTTAAACAAGTCTTAGGTAGCGCTTTTCCTGTGATTTTACAGTTTGGAGTTATTCTTTCCGTGGCACAGACAAGCGTCTGCGTGAACACGTCCAGAAGGATGTAATCGGTCCCGGTTGATCACGAAAAGGGCAGTAATACACTCAAGGTGCAGAAGAAGGCGGGGGTCAGATGGGAATCTATGAAGCTTTTTTTTTTTAATGTGTGCCACAAAAATACTAGGTACACATTAGAAATTATATAATGGGTTCCCATTTCAAGATTGTCAGTCGAAAGTTTCACATTGACATGTTTCTGTTTGTTCTGACTGAGCCACTGTTTTTGTTTTACAATTCTTTTATTCCCAAATTTCACAATTTACTTAGAACGTATAATTTGTATCCTTTTTTTTTTTTTTTTTTTTTTTAAGTGGCTCCTATGAGGGTCAAAGGTTCAGCACAGTTTATTATTTTTTGTCAACCTCTTCTTTTTTTTTTAGGTCTACTGCTTCTGACTTTATATTTTTAATTTTGATTACTTGGTACCACAACTAAATCCAGCAGCACATCCTTTTCAGAGATTTAGTCAGTTGTGTAGGATTTTGATTTGGTAAATCTTTTTTTTTTATAATCTCCAAGTTTGTCTTGTTTCTTCTTTTTTTTTTTTCCCAGACAGACTAGCTCTTGCGTAGGTCCATACTTTCGGAGAAAAACAGTTTGCATTGCAAAACGAGTGTGTCACATTCAAATTTCAGATGATTCAATCCTGTCTATCCACGGCAGACTCGACGAAGGCGTGTCTTCTTGTTTTCCTGCTGCTCTGTCAGCTGTCGGCTCCTTCGCCTCCTTCTCGGTTGTCCCATCTCTGCTCCCTCCTCCAGCTCCTCCTCCGCCTCCCCTTCCTTCCCGCGCCCCGCCCGCCCTCAGCTGCTGCAGCTCCCTCTCCAGGGCTTCGTTGCGGTGATACATCTCCAGGTAGCTGGCCTGGAGCTCCTTCTGGTAGCGGATGACCTTGTCTTTCTCCGTCTGCCACGTGTTCCTCTCCTCCTCGAAGGCCGTGGCCTGGGCCTCGCTCTGACGTCGCTCCAGCAGCAGCTCCGCTCGCAGACGCTCTTCTGTGGGACCCACAGAGCCGCCTGCGAAAGAGAAAGTTCACGCGGATTCAGCTGAAGTCCAAAAAAGACAAAAAAAAAAAAAAAAAATCCCAGCTTCCGGGAAATGCCCACAGCTCTGTACTCCTGACCTGGTTGCACAGCTATAACCTGATTTTGGATCTAAAATTGGAAACACAAAGCCATGATTGAGCGGCGGCTACCTGTTGCTCCCGCTGATGGACTCTCTTCGGCTCCTTTTTTGCTTTCTCCGGCGGAGGAACACTTGCCGTGCTGCGTCCCCTGCAGGATGATGTTCAGAGCGTCTATCTGGGCCTCCCTGTTGCGCAGCTCCGTCCGGGTTTCCCTCAGCTGCGTCTTCAGTTTGAAGATCTCGCTCAGCTTCTGGGTCACTTCTGCCTGGGAGTCCCTCACCTGCTGCTTCAGCAACGAGATTTCCCCCGACTTCTGACAAACCTGAGAAAGACAAGTGACAAATATGATCATTGTTGAAAACTGGAAACTGGACTTTTTAAAAAAGATTCAGAATTTCACTACAAAACCACACAATATTTTGGCCTAATTTCTGCAAATATTTTAGTACACTTGAAAAAAGACAAAACTAACTTACAAGTTACTTTTCAGCAAAATATAGGAGCTTTTTTTCAAGTCAATAAATCCTTAATATTGATGAAAAAGTATCAGATGTAACTTAAATAGTGGAACGAGACGTTTTAGCTTATGATATGGGAAAAATGTCATGTTCCACTGGCAGATTATTTTACTTTTTCATCAAAATGAAGGTATTACTGATTTATAACAAGCTTGCTGAAAAGTTAGTTTTGTCTTATATTTCAACTTGAAACTAGTTCAGAAATACCTTTTGTGGTATATTTTGAATTCCAGTGCAAAGTATTGAAAAGATGCACAATTTGCAAAAAAATAAAAAAATAAAAAAATATGAAAAGTGTGGCATGCACCATACCACTCCAGACATATTTTTCTTCCCCCACAGTGAAACAGGGTGGTGAATGCGTCGCTCCTTACACCTGGGCTCTTCTCACCTCCCACCGTGTCTCCTCCAGAGTCGGACTGGTCGGGTTCGGCGCGGCCGTGACGTCCCGGCTCGCGTCCCGCTTCAGGCCGTCGAGCTCCTCCTGCAGGCGATTCTTCTCCTGCTGGGCCCTAAACAGCTCCAACTGCATGCTGCGCTGGGAGCGCTGGGCGTGCTGCGAGACCTGGCGCAGCTTCGCGGCGTACAGGCGCTTCAGCTCCTCCACCTCCTTCTCCCACAGACGCTGCTTCCCCTCAAACACCTGCAGGTGGCGAGCAGATGGGGTCAGCGCAGACCGAAAAAAATGAAGGGACGTTCAGATCGAAAATGAGATTCACCTGAGCGATGGCGCCCTCGCTCTCGTCCAGGTTCCTCCTCATCTGTTTTAGTTCATGCTCTTTTTCCACCAGGCGCTCCTCCAGATCCCTCACCTGGAAGACACGGCAGCACAAATAACTCAGGGAGGCCGGCAAACGTAAACACACGCCTAGAATATTTTCTTATATTGTCATGTTACAACAGCAAACTTCTGTCTGTTAGAAAAAAAGGCTCAATGACCAACATGACATTTTTATGCACTTCTTCTTTTGTGAACTACATCAGATTGTCAGATTTGATAGAGATCATCCATGAACATTAATTTTCAGGTCTTCATACAGATTCTGGATTTATTCATTCTGAGACATGAACAAGCTTCGATTGTGCAGTCGCTCTGGGTGGACGGGGAAGCTGTCCCTCGCAGCCTCTAAGAGGTTTTCTTTCAGGACTTGCTCTGCGTTTGACCTCTCCCATCTGAAGAAAAGCTTCCCCACAAACCCAGGCAGCCATCACCACGTCTCAGGGTACAGAAACATTTGTTCAGGCTTTGCTTTTCCACCAGATGTGTTTTACATGAAGGAGAAGAGTTGTGTTTTTACACTGTTTGTGGTGGAATTTAAACTGACCTATTTTTCTTTCAACAATGACTTTTTTTTCCCCCCTTTTTTTTTGTTTGCCACTTTTCCAGAAAGGACAAGTTTGTGGAGTTACTAATAGTTACCACATGATGCCTCGTGGCTGTGATTAATACTCTCATTCACTAATCATGTCACGATTGCAGTCGTGCCGTACTTTTTCTATTTTCCAACGACGAGTTGAACAGTTCTGCTAAAGACGTGAAAAGCTCGTCTTATAAGCAAGCATAGCACTGAACACGACTTTCTCTCTGACCTCTGCTGAGCTCTCTGATCTCTAATGTTAGCCAATTCACCTCAGAGATTTTCACCAAACAGCTGCAGTTGAACTGAGATTAACCTGTGCTGCTTCCAAACCTCCAGGAATTGTTGTATTTTGAAGGTATCAGATTAAGTAACTGAGCTTGCCACACTTTTCAGGCTTATATTTCCAAAAAGAAACATGTAAAAATCATTTTCCTTTCACGTCACAATCTATAAAATAAATAGCAGCCGCTCAGGAGGTGAGGGTTTGCTTTGTAACCGGGGCAGCTGTGGCTACAATGCAGCTAATTACCAACAGTGTGTGAATGGGTGAATGACTGAATGTAGTGTAAAGTGCTTTAGAGTCCTCTGACTTGACAGGCCATTTGTCTTAAAAGTTGGTGGCTTTACCATGAAGCAAACCTTTCAAATCAGTCATTAAATTGGGCTCATATTCCCTTACCACGTCCTCCACCGAGAGGGACAGCGTCCATTCATAAGGAGGCGGAGCCTCGCTGCCATAGGGGGTCAGGCGGTTTAGGGTGGCCATGCTTCGGCATGCTACCTCCCCCATAGCCACGCCCCCTGACCCGGCGGCCTTCAGGCCCTGAGAGGTTCGATCTAAGGAGCCGATGGTGTTGATGTGGCCCATGGAAGCGCTGGGGAAAGGAAAGGAAACCACAGAAGCTATTAAAATCTTGTTACTTTACACAATCCACACAGTCAGAAAAACAAGGCAAAAGTCACAGCTGTGGAACTCAAAGTTCATCGGAGAAGACATTGACGTAGCAGCCGACCTGATGTGAGACAGATGTGGACGGAACGGAGGGCGGTAAGGCGGCAGACTGCTCATGGAGTTATGACCCGAGTCTGACAGGTTGTCGTCCTCGTGGCTCATCACTTGCACCGAGGAGACGGCCTGCAAAGTCAGGATTATACGGTTATTCAGCATGATTGCAGCCTTTGACAGGAATGCTTGAAAATAAAAAGGTACTTCTGTTTTCACATCTGTAATCCACATGCCTGGATCAAAAGAGTGATTCATTTGGCAAATTTCTAGCTAACGACAGAAGATGCTAAGCGAATAAAGCCGGATCGGGGTGTACCTTGTTTCCACATGATGTCGGTCCTCCATGACGGGAGGGCGAGGAAGATGAAGAGGAGGTCGAGACCGTTTTGGAGATGTGGCCGTATGCTCTGTGCAGTCCATTGGAAAGGCCGTGATCCACATCCTCCGACTTGGAGGAGGGGTAGAGGTTTTGCATGGAGCTGAAGTTTTTAGGTGTGACGGGTTTGAATGCAGAAGACCTGAACCGAACCTAAGAAACAATGGCAAACAAAGTGCAAAGAGGCGTAAGGCGCTGGCGGACCCTCGCAGCAATAATAGCTGGGTTACGTAACATAAATCACAATGTTCTAATGAAATCAATGCTACGACACCCTCTGTGTTTTCAGCACTGATCAATTTAGGGGTAAAAAAAAAAGGAGAAGAGAGATTTGATCACTGCAATAAATTCAAAACTCTGCAAGCAACGGATTTTTCAATCAGTGCTGCTGAGGTGGGTCACATCTGCGACTGATTTATGCTCCTGAAAGGATTCAAGGGTGTTGCGTCATACTGCAGGAAATATATGAAAGTGTTACTAATCAATTTACCACAACCCCTTGGAGCCTTTTCAGTGGCTGTAAATCATTTGTACAAAGAGTACTTTTAGCAAAATTGATCATAATTTCTGTTACTAATTTGATACACATATGTTTTCCCGAAAACAATTTAATACAGTACCTTACTAAAGTAATTTCATGCCATGACTGTGTTTTCATGTTGTCACACTGCAGTCATAAACTCCAGTGTGGTTTACTATTATTTGTGTGATACATAAAGTTGAAGAAAAATTTAACTTTTTCTTCTTTGACAAATGAAAATTTATAATGCATATGTCCAGTCCCCCTTAATCAAATACCTCTAAATACAATCCTGGGGGTAACATGGCCTAGTTAAAGTCTGGACCTAAATCTAAGTGAGAATCCACTGCTCAATGTACAAACTCGTCTTCACTAAAAGTCATCAATCAATGCAATTGAACTTCATATATTTTGCAAAAAGGAATGGGCAAATATTTCACACATATTCAAAAAGGTTTTTACACAAAACACTGGTCCTAAAAAAGAATAATAATTAAAAATAATTATTATGCAAAAAAAACCCCAAAACCTGACCAATATGTTCTACTTTGAGTTGATCTGTCTGTTTGCTGCGGTAATTCTTCAAAACGTGGAAACAGTTGTAGGTTTTGCTGTAACGCTAGACACCATGATGTCACACGACTGATGCTCATGTAAGCACGTTCTTTTTCTGAAATATACAGCGTCAATTCTCGGACATTCACCTTTTCGTACTTGCCCCCGCTTGGCAGTGAGTTTTTAGTCAGGTCTATTTCAGTGCCATCTTTACTGTAGACTTTGGCGAAAACGTCATCCTCCACCAGGCCTCCGATGACGTCCCTCTTGCCGTCGCCGCTCGGCCCCACTTTGGGCTCTTTTCTGTCGGGAAGCGCAGGACGTCAGAAGACATCTCAACGTAACGTCCGGCAGAGGTATCTGCCGCTCTGCAGCAGGACCCACCTGGTGATGTTGAGGTAGTTCAGTAGCTCTCTCTGGGTCAGGCCCTTCTTCAGCAGGCCGTTGGTTTGTCTGGGTCTCACCTGAGGCACCGCGCGGCTACCTTTAGTCGGAGACACGTCTGGCTTCTCCACCAGACTTCCTACGCTTCCCATGCCGCAGAGCGAGGAGAGGGGGGAGGACGGGAAAGGGCCGCGGAAGTTTTGGGTGGGACCACGCGTCACGGGAAGAGTTTGGACAGAGGTTGCCATTGATTACAAGAGGCTGAGGGGAGGTAAAGAGATCTGCGAAAGAAGATAAAAACAGGTCGATCACAAGAATAGGTGGGACTGGCATCAATTAGAACTTGATGATATCTTGGTTCAAAGATAGCATCATGAACGTCCTGCTGAGGCATGCTTGGCTTCTTTGGAAACAAATTATATGTCTTGTGTTTGATGATTCAGAACATTACAGAGCGACAGTCGAAGATTATAATCAGTCAAGGAGAGACAAACAGAAATCTGTTCAGGAAAGAGCTTCTCAGATGAAACTATGAACCTGTTATTAGATTCTAAAATGTTCTCAGCCACAGATTGAAATCGCTCAATTTCCCCTTGATTACCTTCCATTTAGTTTGATCAGCAGATCAAATCCTTAAAGTTCAGGAAATTTCCAGTTCATTTCAGTGCATAAAATGAAGAACAATCTGCATCTCCAGTTTATGAACACAAAACTAACTCAAAATCTGAAATAGCAAGACATAACCTTAAAGATATGATCTTATAATCCAATATGGCTGCCACATATCATTTGTAGTTACTTTACAAAATCAATCTTGCAGACAGTGTAGTGCAAAATCTATTTGTGAACATGCTTAATGTCCAAATTCAGAGAAATATTTCTCAACAATTAGCTCACAGTTGTGCTCTGTCTTGCAACATGAAAACAGTTGGATTAGTTTCTACTAAAGGTGACAAATCTCTACAGTCTTGTTCTCCTCTTCCCAAGCTGTTGCTCACCTTTGCTTTTCTACAGACAGTTGTCAAACCAGCACATGAAACCAGCATGAAACTGCAGATCCCTGATAAGGACACAGCAGCCTACAACAACAATGGCACAAAATCTAAGGAGTGTCAACAATCACACTTATCAAATTATGCTTCTTTATATATGGCAAACTTTAAGCTCTGTCTCTGCTAAGAAGCCAAACCAATGAGAGCTTGTTAGATGTCTGTTATTCTGCTAAACAACAGTAAATTCAAGTTGCAGTTCTTTCACTTAATTTATTTGAATCTATGTATCACAACATCAATAAACATTTTGCGACATAAATACCTCTGAACGGTACTTTACAACATTTGTGGCTCTAGCGATGATTGTAAATGGTAGCAAACATAATAAATGTGAGTTCACAAAGCAGTGGAGGTACTTTAGAGCAACCTGAAAGGTTATGACACACGATAACAACAAAACAAACATTATTCCTTCCTCCTCTGCTGAAATAAACTCCTCTGCTTACCCCACTGATCGAATGTGTGGACGTCTGTCCCCGGAGGACAAAGGTGAGCTGACATGCGTTCCCTCAGCTGTGTTTGTCTCTGCAGTCAGCTGTCTCACAGCACAACAATATCAACTCAGTAGGACCAACCCACACACCCTGACTGCCATGCAAATGCCACGATGGAAGAACAATAAATGCAAATATCTCCTTTACGCAGACACAGGATATCTGAGGTAGCTGCAGAGATCATGTGAGGTAGCGGCGCTGCAGGGTCATGTTGTTGTTGTTGTTGTTGTTTTTCATGACAAATCTGTTACGTAACTCGGATCCAACTGGGTTACTACGACTCTTTTTTTTTTTTTTTCCCCTAAAGGACATAAGCCCAACATTTTAATCAAGTCCTGAAGCACAGTTTCCCAAAGTCCCTGGGAAAAAACAAACAAAAATCACAAACCACTCATAGTGTCTCAAGACGTCGAGCTCAGCATCAGAAAAGCTCCAGCTGAGTTTTAACATTTTGTAAGTGAACAATGAGCAAGTTTTGCTTATTTTTTTTTATGAAACTAAACCAGCTGCCAAGCGATTCAAACACCCACCTGAAAGACCTAAGAGCCTCTCCACCCCCCACACACCAGGCATTGTTTCCTCCTGTCACCCCGCTGATTCCTCTCACTTTCCGATCACCCACACATCCCCTCCATCCCTTCTTTTCAGTCAACCTCATTAAGGTGCACTATCGATTTTATCCTCTTGACCCTCTCTGTTCCCGTGCATAAACACCGCCAGCAGTCATAAGCTACTGGAGACCATAAAACACGCACTGGCATGCAGCTCCATTCGCGACTATAAATACGACTGAGGGGGAAACAAAGGTCTCCGTTCAGGTGTCTTTGCAAAGCAAATACGGCGGAAAAGTTTGGAGCAAGAACAGGGGAGAAGGACGTGAGGCAAATGTTAAAAAACGGAGCTGTAACTTTGGACTTTGCACCCATGTGTCCTGTGTAGTCGAGAGCACCACATGTGCTTCGGGGATTCTTTTATTCAGACGCTTTGTTGGAACCATAATCTAACCAAAAGTTTGAATTCCCGCATGAAATATGTAAATAGAAATAGAAACTGAAAAGCCCTTCTGATGTCTGGAAACTTGTTGGCAGCAGAAAGTAGATTATGGCCATTACTTTCATCTTGAACCTCTAAAAGACGGTCAAGGGTGCTCAGGCAGTTTTCTCTGCGCGTCGAGGATCATGAGTGAGCTCATCCCAAGCAACGAGCGGAGCGTCCTGCTGCCCGCCTGGAGCCACTTTGGCTCAGTGGACACAAACCAACAACACGTTGTTCGCTTCGCTACAGCTGGTCCACTCTGTCGTACACAAAGCTCCTGTTTTGGATCTACTCTGGTTATCTCCTCTCACTTTTGTCGAGCACCTCACACTGCTGGCCAGGACAGTTATAACAATTATGTAAATGGTTAAAATAGGCAGGGAGAAAAAGAGAGAGAGAGGGAGAGAGAGAGATCACTCTATTCATGGCTCTCAGCCAGGCCCAGATCAAAGCAGCCCAAGCTGCTCATGTTTATATTCATGAGGTCCCATTTCCTCCCCAATATGAAACTTTCTACTGAAACATCCAGTTTCAGCCAGTAAAATAAAGACCAAACCTTATAATCAAAGATGTTTAGCATAGGATATTATACTACACTAAGGGAAAATAATTGCCCCCCTCTCCTTTTTTTATTTATTTATGTTTTTTTTGTTGCAGCTGATTTATCAAGGCCTTGTGTGTCCAAGTCAGACGTGCAAACAGTCAGTGTGGTCAGATCTCGCTGACTTCGCGCGAATCAATGCGTTTGATTTCACGTAAATAAATAATGAGCGTGAAAAGCCTAATGGCCGTCGGTCAAGGTCGGGCCTGGTATTCTCAGCCTCATTTCTGTGCGAAGTTTGGTTCGCTGCGCAAAACGCGCCTGAGAAGCCAATCGATGCTGGACGGGAAAGCTGAGCTCGGAGCCGAGGCGAGGCCCGGTGTGCGTTTTGGGTTCGGACGGACGGACGGAGCGGCGATCCATTTGGGATGTGGCCGCAAAATCCTGCGGGACTGAAGAGATCTCACATCCCGGTTGTTGTTGTTTTTTTCTCTTAATTGCCTTCAGGTTTACGGGCCCAGAGTAAAACCCGGAGAAGACAAAGACCAGAGCAGACGAGGGGCCCCACAGAGAGGCTGCGGCTCCGGGGACCCGTCACACCTGCACAGATCAAAGCAATGCCGGCCTTGAACAGTTAGGGTCTAATTGAAAAGTGTGTGTGTGTGTGTGTGTGTGTGTGGGTGTGTGTGTGGGGGGGTGTGTGTGTGTGTGTGTGTGGGGTGTGTGTGTGGGGGTGTGTGTGTGTGTGTGTTCATTCAGTCTTCCTTTAGGAGAGGAGCTTTTCGAACCGCGTATGTTTCCTTCAACCTGCCGACAAATATGTTCCAAACTAAGAAGTTTTGTTGAACACTGAACGGACTGAAGCGTAGAAGAAGAACGAAGTGAGACACTTCATATTGAAGAAGAGATGATGAGCTGATATTGAGCAAGAGAAGCTCACCCTTCATCTTGTTTTCATTTTATTCATGAAGAACAAATTGAGCTGGGGCTAATTACTGATATAAAACGAGTCTTTAAAGTAATAGAACTCCACGGCATGACGCTGCCACCACCATGCTTGGCAGTTCTGGTGTTTTAAAGTCTCACCGCGACTCCTCCAGATGCCCTTATTTTACATATTAGCATCGGAAATATTTCTTTAAACGTGTTTGAGCCCACCTTAGCGGATGATCGGTCGATATTAATATGGCAAGTCTATACTGTCATGTGAAAACTAGTGACATGAGCCCATTATTAAAACACGAGGGACATGTTTTTAACTATTGATTGATACTGGTGTTAGGTTTTTACTTTCCAACTCAAAGAATGGTGAAACATGCTGTATTCTGGTACTCTTGTCAAAGAAATACAGTCAAAGGAAAACGTGCATGTTAGGGAATCGGCCGGTAAACATTTCTATGAAATGAGAGCAAGTAAAATTTTCCTTCGATGTGGTTAAGGTTAAGCTGCGCCAGAGGCCATATCAAGACGGATCTTCGCTACATTCAAGTTAAAAGAGAGCTCCACCGCGTCACCATACATGTCAGGATGTAAGGAGTGGAAGTGTCTGTGGCTGCAGGGCATGGCAGCCCCAGACGAGAGCTGTTTGTAATTGTTAGCAGGTTATTTATTATGGAAAGGAGGGGATCAGACAGACTTAGTTTCTCTTAGCAAATCCTGAGGCCACAGCAGAGAAACACGTCGAAATTGGGGTCACGAAGAGCCGCTGCTTCTTCTGACATTTACCGCCGCGTATCAGTGAAGCGAGGCTGGATTCGAGTGAAACTTAAACGCTGAGTAATTTGTCAAAGCTTTCCTGTAAATTCTTGCCGTCTGTTTGCCAACTGAGAGCAGACAGAGCGTTCTGCGTTCCGTGTTCCCTGAAAGGTCAACTTGAGAGGACAAGGAGCGCTCCAGTGTGACGTGGGTCATAATTCAGTGGCGGCTGGACACGACGGCGGTACGGCTGAGGGAGCAGTGTTCAGCCTCACACTGTCTCTATTGATGATGGCTGCTCCAGACTTTATGGAGGTTGAAGGTTATATTTAGTCAGGGCTGCAGATACAGGGTGCCTTTGAGTAGACAGACAAAGCAGAGACTTCACTCTGGAAGTTTTGACAATACTATGCAATTATGGCCACTTATTCCTCATTACCACCAGACTGTACGTTTCTATGTTG